AAAAATAAACTATCATGGCAACCATGTGCCACACCAATTTATGGAGTTTAGATAATGAACAACCTTGATATGGTTTTTTGAAGAGTCGGAAAAAATAGAGAAATAGAGATGCTAAATAAAAAGTATTTATACCCTACAACACTATGTGTTGGGGGTATTATAAGTTTGATTGGGCCAAAAATTATGTAATACCACGAAATGTTGATTTCCCATAGGAAAGTATATATGGATCTTCCTATCTCGCCGAGCTGAGTCGATCTAGCTATGTATGTCCGTCCGTCTGTCCTTGTTAATTTGTAATCACTCTGCAGGTCGCAATTATGACCCGATCTTCGCGAAATTTAAAATGTAGGTGGGGTTAATATCAGAACAGAACCCTATTTCTTTTGGAGATGATCGCATAATATTTAGGGGTTGAAATGGAACAAAAACTGAAAAATTTCCTGATTTTGCAGTTGCTCTACAGGTCACAATTATAGACCAATCGAAGCGAAAGTTAGCATAGGGCTAGAGCTTTAGGCTGGGCAGAAGCCTTCCAATTTTGATGGTCATCGGGTAACATATAGTGGTTGAAATAGATCATAGCATTTGTGATGAATAAAAGTCAAATTTTCCATTAAACCGCGAATATTTTTAATGCCGGCGAAATCACAAATATACGAACAGGTCAATCCTGACCGTTACGTAGATGCCGATAGTAAAAATATCGGATATATATAGCGAAATATATACAATGTATATATACAAAGGAAGGGGATGTTAGCTAGAATGCTTATATCTCCAGAATGGCTGAAGCGATTTTGACAAATTTTGTAAAATTAGAATGCCCTTTTGGCATAAAAGTATAAAGTCTAAAAAAATCGCATAAAAAGATACCAATAATGAGGTTAATATAGATTTTGTAGTATTTTGTGACATTTTTTTTATTTTTTCATATTTTTTATCGCATGCGATTTCTTCAATTTGACTTATAATATTGAAGTGTATAGTTTAGGTTGGGGTTATTATTTATATACAGATTGCAATTATCGTTCGATCTTGACGAAAATTTTGACAAAGGTAGGGTTAGGCTCAGAAGGACTTCAAAAATGTCCGCAATATATTTAGGGGTTGAAACTGACCAGCAACTCAAAATGTTCCTGATTTTGCAGCCGTTATAAAGGTCACAAGTAGAAAACAAAGAACACGAAATCTTGCATTAAGTTGGAATTTAAGACAGCAGGTAGAATAGACCACTACTTTTGTGTGAAAAAATACCAACATTACTTACATGTGATATCCGAAATACACAATAGGCGAACTTCTAGCTTTTTATGTTGATTTCGTTGACGAATATAGCCAAATTGCTTTTGGAGATGATTGCAAAATATTTCGGGGTTCAAATGAACCAAAAACAGAAAAAAAATCCTGATCACACAATTGAAGCCAATCTACACGCCTGAGAAGATAGATAAGCACAGTAAAGAATTCTAGCATTTTGGATGACCATTGGATTATATTTAGCCGCAAAATGGACCACAAAAACTAACAGCACGACGGAGTGCATAAATATCGGGAAAATGTCCCTGGTCAAAATGCTAAGGGTAATATCTGGGCAGTGCTCCGTGACATAATTTCAAAAGCAAAATCTTCCGAAATGGATTTGGACATGAGGGGGCTTCTCACATATTGTAGTGTTGTAGGGTATCACATGGTCGGCCCCGCACGACCTTTGCTTACTTCTTTAAATATAACACTGTGTTACCAAACTTAATGTCTTCAATAACTGTGGGGAAAAAATTATCAGAAAATATGGAAATAATATGAGTTTTTTTTGAAACTATTCGATAGGCAGTGGAAATAGAGATTTCCTTTCTTTAGTGACTTAGAGCCAAATTTTATGAAGAATAATTGTGTCTTTAATGTCATCCCTCTTAAATGATAATTTGTTGGAGATTCTGGCACAAATTTACACAAAGTACGGAAAAATACGGATAAATAAAAACAGACAAAAAATGAGGGAATAATTTTTTTTTTTTTTTTTTTTTGGGAACATTGCTGCAAATATCATCAGATCTTCTATGAGAAGACCTCCAGATATTCTAGGAAAAGACCTTCAGATCTTCTAGGAAAAGATATTCAAAACTTCTACGAAAAGATCCCCAGGTCTTCTAAGAAAAGATCTCCAGGTCTTTTATGAAAAGATCTCCAGGTCTTCTATGAGAAGACCCCTTGGACTTCTATATACAATAGAAATGGAAATTTCCTTTCTCTGGTGATTTATAGTATAATTTGATGAAAAATATTTTTGCCTTTGACTTCATCCTTTTAAAATGAAGCTTTGTTGGATATTTTTGCACAAATTCAAACAGAGTACGGATTTACTCCTAAAATGTGTTTTTATACCCTACACCACAAGGTGGTCAGGGAATTATGTCTTTATGCATGTGTTTGTAACAGGCAAAAGGAAACGAGATAGACCCATAGTTCCTTTTGATGATCTGCATAGAATCACATTCTGAGTCGATTTATGTATGCCCGTCCTGTCCATGTATTTTTGTGAACAAAGTACAGTTCGCATTTATTGCCCTATCCAGATGAAACTTTGCTTTTTTCATTTTTTTTTTTTTTTGGCCCAAGGACAAACCCTATTGAAATTGGAGATAATCGGTCAAAATTTATATATAGCTCCCATATATATCTTCGTCCGATTTGCCTTTTATTGTGCACCAAACGTGTAAAAGCAGCCCGAATAGTATGGAATTTTGCACATACAACCAAATTAGGCCTGAAAATAAATATACCAAATTTGATCGAAATCGGTTCAGATATAGCTATAGCTCCCATATATATTGTTCATCCGATTTGTTATTTTTGTCCTCCGCAGCCGTAATATGCACTCGGTAACGACAATATTTGGGGAAATATATCAAATGCAGCTCAGAAACACATTTGCTAAATTTTATCGAGATCGGTTCAGATTTGGATATAGCTCCCACATATAACTTCGTCCGATTTACCTTTTATTGTTCACCAAACTTTTCACATTTGTCCAAATGGGATGGAATTGAGTCTAGAAGATAGTATGTCAAATTTGGTGAAGATGTAGCTATAGCTCCCATATATATTGTTCATCCGATTTGTTGTATTTGTAACCCACAGCCGTAATATGCACTCCGTAATATGCACTCTATGCATATTCAGGGAAATATATCAAATACAGCTCAGAAAATATCTTTGCAAAATTTTATCGAGATCGGTTCCGAATTGGATAAAGCTCCCATATATATCTTTATCCGATTTCAAATTAATTGTGCACCAAATGGGCAATACAAATCCGAATCTCAAAGATACAAATGCTTCGGCATATTTAGTTTTTCGAACTTTAAATTATAATTATTATCATAGCGTGTATGATTGAATTCTCCCATAAAAACTTTTATGCGGAGCTCTAATAAATTAGCATAAAGTCGGCCCCGCCCGACTTTAAGACTTTCTTTACTGGTTTTAAATTGTATGCTGTTTTGGGTAGCCGGCAGGGGCTTGAATTTTTCTTCTCTGGGTATGTCCAACTCCGGCTACACGAACTAAAGTTTTTCCATACTTGATACTCCTTTTAATTTTGATGCTGGCTATATAAAAGCCGGCCTGCGGCTTTTACAATATACTGAACATTATCGGCACGAACGGGTTCGAATACTTTGGGGGATTTTCTTAGTAGATCCGGATCTTACCCGAATCTTGGATACGGGCTTTCATGTTAAATAACAGGGTATACGGGTTCATACCCTCCAAAATATCAAAAAACCAAACTAGATTTGTCAAATGATGTGCCAATTTCCTCTGAATAAGTATTTCAGCCTATGACCACAAATTCAGAATTAGACCAATAGAAGCAAGGTGATCATTTTAGCTCATCACCGATAATTTTTCTAAGACAGGGTAGGATTGGTGGATTTTAATCGTTGATTTTTAAAGATTTTTTTAATAGATTCGAAGACAAAAACTTTTATTTTTTAAGAAAGCATTTTGAAAGGTCTTTCCTGCCAAAAATCCTGAATGTTTAAAACATATATTTTCAGAGCAAAATTGTAGATATTTTAACTACTTCTTTGATTTTTTTTTTAATATTCTCTCCAAGATTTTATGCAAAAAAATATGGATTTCGTGGAAACATGTTTCCAGACTTAAATTTTCTTCTTGGGCAAAAGACGGACAAAATTTGTTGACTTTTTAAATTATCTATTCGGGGTCAAGTTAAATAAAAATCATAGATTTTTTTAAACATTTTTTCAGCTCTTCCGCCACGACATTTTGGATTTTAAAATAAAACTTTTTGCTATGACTTCCTTAGCAAAAATTTTCGATTTTTTTAAATACATTTAAAATTGCCTGAGCAAAAATTTTAAAATCTCTAAAATCATGGATTTTTAAGAATTTTTTTATTTTTTTTTAGGAACAATTTTAAGGACCTTCTGGAAATATAATCGTTAGTCTGATATCATTCTTTGACCATAACTATCTTGGATTTCTTATTAAAACATAGGGCTTTTTAGTTACCCCTCTTTTTTAAATCAAAGCAATTAAGTAATTATCCCACCATACGACTCCCACGTAATTTACAAAAATGACTAACTCACAAAATGTGTGTGTTTTGAAACAGAATTGCCCTTTGGGGGGTAAATAACCTGCCGGCAGTACTTTCACTTTTTCCTTACTCCATAAAAGGGAAAATCCAAGAGAGTAAGCAAAGAAAAACAGACTTACATTTTCATTTGAACTCGGCTGGTGGTGGCCTACAACGTTGATTAAATTAAATGTGGAGCTTAACAATTAGCTATTGAAAAGCATTCTCAGGGTAATTAAAAATATTAGCTGTGGGGGTTTCAGTTTTTTTCTTGCTTTTGTTGAAACAAAAAATAATAGTTTTTTTTTAGTCTCTCAAATGTTAATTACTTAACCAAGAGTTAGTGTAAGGCGGTAGATAAGGAAGGCAACAACAAAAAAAGTGCAACACTAACCAATTCGTTTGACATGAACATCTCGATTAAATGACACTCGGGGTCCACCATTGGCATTCGTTTGGGCTGATGTCACCGCATTTGGAGAGGTGGAGGATGATGATGGCTGCTGATGTGCAGGTGCTGATGAGTTCGGATTTATTGTCGTTGCTGCTGTTGCTGATGATGATGAACCTGCTGCTGTTGGCGGCGCCTGCGCCTGATAGTTGGCTTTTGTCGTGGGCATTGATAAATTAGCTGAAGCTGCTGATGTCGTTTGTGTTGTTGCTGCAAATGGTGATGGAGCCATGACGGCTGATGGTGGTGGTGGCACTGGCATTGCTGACTTTAAATTATCTTTTGGTAATCTTTGGTTTTGTACAGCCATTGTTTTACAAAATTTTAAAATTTTTAAGGCTTTCTTCTGTGGCCAATGCGGCAGGCTATCAGATCACAATCTGCTGCTGGATGACAAATGATTCAGAGCCGGAGAAGGGGGAGAGGGAGAGATGGAAATGAACATCAACAGAAACCACTAAAATCGGTGTCTCCATAAATGGTCGGTCCCCCACCAACAAAGCTTCAATGGCCTCGTCGCTTTTGTTGTTTTTGTAGAGCTTGATGGTTATTTAGCAACCGGCTTATTAACAAATGACATTTTCTAAATGTTGTTGTTGTTGTTGCTGTTTTTAGCTTTCCTTGACTTCTTGTCTTGCCAATTACGCAGACTCCACAACACTCCGTTGCTATCGCTGCTATGACATACTAAGTAAATTTTCCTGCTACCGCGGCGGATTTCACTCTTACTTTCCTTTCGTGGCTAAGAAACAATTCGGCATTCATTCAGTCTTTGTCTGGGGTTATGGGAAATAGGGGGGAAATTTCTGTTTTGGGATTTTCTTTTCTATTGTAGCTATTTTATTTATTTTCTCTTTCAAATAACTGCAGCGAGGATGTTGGGAAGTTGGAAAAACTGCTGGAAATATTTTGGAGTAGAAAAAGAGAAAAAAAGAAGAAGTTCACATTTAGATATCTGATTTTCCACAACTCTCTTTTGGATGAGTATTTGTTTTTTAGTTGTTGTACTGAAGCAGCAGTGAAGATGAGATTTTCCACAAAATGCGTTGTTATTGTTGTAGTTGTTGCTGTTGTGAATGATTTTGATAATGAAATTGGCAAAGTGGTGTCCATGAATCTTTTTTTTTTTTTTTGGTGATATATTAGAAGAAATAATTTTGAGTTGGTTTTTAAGAGATTAGACTAGGTAAGATGAACACAAAAGCTGTACAGAATGTTAAGAAGGTGATTAGATTTTGAGAAAAAAAATTTAGTAATTTATTAGAAGAAATGAAAATTTTTATTATTTCGGGAATTTAAAAAAAATTGAATATATTTTTTTATTAATTTTTTTTCTATTAATTTTTTTCAAGGGCTAATAAAAGAGGGAGGATTTTGTAATTAAAGTTTTTTAAGGGCTACGGATTTTTTAATTAAATTTCAAGGGCTAATAAACGTGGATATTTAAATACAATTTTTTGTAAGGGATAAGGATTTTCTAACTTTCTTTAAGGACAAATAAACGTGGATTTTTAAATATTTTTTTCAAGGACTCTGTTAAACGAGGATTTTTAAATTAATATCTGTTTTAAGGACTAATAAACATGGATTTTTAAAATTATTTTTTTTTCAAGGACTCTAATAAACGAAGATTCGTAAATTAATTTCTTTTTTTTTAAGACTAATAAACATGAATTTTTAAAATTATTTTTTGAAGAACTAATAAACGTGGATTAACTTTTTCTCGAGGCTAATAAACGTGGACTTTTAAATTAATTTTTTGAAGGACCAACAAACGTGGATTGATTTTTTTTCGAGGGCTAATAAACGTGGATTTTTAAATTTATTTGTTTTTTTCTGAAGGACTACAAGAACAACAAACGTGGATTTTTATTATTTTTTTCTGAAGGACCATAAGACCCATCAACGTAAATTTTTAAATTTATTTTTTTTAAGGACTATAAACATGGATTTTAAAATTAATTTTTTTTTTCAAGGATTAATAAACGTAGATAAATTTTTAAATTATTTTTTAAAGAACTCATAAACGTAAATTAATTTTTAAATTTAATTTTTTTATTTCAAGGACTGTTAAACGTGGATTTGTAAATTAAATTTTTTTCAAGGACTAATAAACATGGATTTTTAAATTAATTTTTTTCAAGGACTAAGAAATGTGGATTTTTAATTAATTTTTCTTCAAGAACTAATAAACGTGGATTTTTAAATTAAATTTTTTTTCAAGAACTAATAAACGTGTATTTTTTAAATTAAATTTTTTTCAAGAACTAATAAACGTGGATTTTTTAAATTAAATTTTTTTCAAGGATTTTTAAATAAAATTTTTTCAAGGACTATTAAACGTTGATTTTTAAATTAATTTTTTTTTCAAGGACTATAAACAAGGATTTTTAAATTAATTTTTTTTTTCAAGGACTATAAACGAGGATTTTTAAATTAAATTTTTTTCAAGGACTATAAACAAGGATTTTTAAATTAATTTTTTTTCAAGGACTATAAACGTGGATTTTTAAGTTCAATTTTTTCAAAGGACTAATAAACGTGGAGATTTAAATTAAATTTTTTCGAGGAATAACAAATGTGAATTTTTTAAATTAATTTTTTTCAAGGACTAATAAACGTGGATTTTTAAATTTCCTTTTTTTCAAGGACTAATAAACGTGGATTTTTAAATTTCTTTTTTTTTTCAAGGACTAATAAACATGGATTTTTAATTAATTTTTTCCAAGGACTAATAATTGTGGATTTTTTAACTATTTTTTTCAAGGACTAATAAACGTAGCCTTAAAAATTTTTTTTCAATGACTAATAAACGTAGCCTTTAAATTATTTTTTTTTTTCAATGACTAATAAACGTAGCCTTTAAATTATTTTTTTTTTTCAATGACTAATAAACGTAGCCTTTAAATTATTTTTTTTTTTTTCAAGGACTATAAAACGAATAAACGTGGATTTTTTAATTAATTTTTTAAGGACTAATAAACTTGAATTTTAAAATTAATTTTTTCAAGGACTAATAAATGTGGATTCCTAAATTATTTTTTTTTTCAAGGGCTATTAGAAGTGGATTTTTAAATTCAAATTTTTAAGGACTATAGGGCAAACGGCTATGGGACAAATACACGTGGATTTTTCAATTAATTTTTTTCCAGGACTATAAGACCAAGGACTTTCGACAAATACTCTAAAGGTTTTAATTTTTTTTCCAAGGACTATAAGACCAAGGACTTTAGACCAATACTCTAGAGGTTTTAATTTTGTTTTTCAAGGACTATAAAAAAAGGACTTTAGACCAATACGTTAATGCTTTTAAATTATTTTTTCAAGGACTATAAGACCAAGGACTTCATAACAATACACTGGAGGTTTTAAATTAATTTTTCGAGGAACATAAGATCAGGGACTTCAGATAAATCCTCAGGAGTTTTTAAATTATTCTTTCAAGGACTATAAGAACAAGGACTTTAAATCAATACACTAAATGTAATTTTTTTAAGGACTATAAAAAAGGACTTTAGACCAATACACTAAGGTTTTTAAATTATTTTTTCTAGGACTATAATACCAACACATTAAACTTTTTGAATTATTCTTTTAAGGACAAATTTTTTTAAATTAATTTTTTGAGGACTATACGATCAAGGACTTGAGACCAATACTCTTTGGGTTTTAAATTAAGGACAAGGACACACTTTCCTAGTTTTAAATTAATTTTTTCATGGACTTGGAGTTTTAAATTAATTTTCCAAAGACTACAAGACCAATAAATGTAGATTTTTAAATTGAGGCACTTTTTTGGGAATTTTTTGTTGGGCATCGTCAAAGCTACGGGTGAGCATTTTTGACTCTTTGCTCGATCAACTATCAGCGACTATTTCAGAAGATTTTTTGTTCAAGGACTCTTAGGGACATTTTCATAAGGTTTATAGGCACTTTCAGAACTATAAGCATAGACATTTTCACAATTTTTTTAAAAGGCTATCAAGGATGTTTTAGTCTAGGACTATCAGAACTGTGTCGGTGATATTTTTAAATTTTTTGATGGACTTTTTCTCAAGGACTTGAGATTTTAAGTTATTTTTTTCAAGGACTTGGACTTGGGAAGACCAAAAACTTGGAATTATAAATGAGTATTTTTTTCAAGGACGATTAGATCAATGACTTGGGACCAATATTTTTGAGGTTTTATTTTTTTAAAAGACTATAGGGCCAATACACTTGAAGTCTTAAATTAAAAATTTCAAACACTATAATACCAATGAACGTAGATTTTTTTTCGCAAACTTTTGCTGAGGAGTATCATTGCTATATGCAAGGGCTCTGAATTCTATTTATTATCAGGGACTAGTTGAGAAGATTTTTTGTTCAAGGACCCTTACGGACTTTTTCATAAGAATTTGAGGCACTTTCAGAACTAAAAACATGGACTTTCTCAACTTTTTTTTCAAGGACTATCAAGGACGTGTTCTGCTTAAGTTAGTCAAGGAGTATTTTGGAAAGCAAGGATGGCACTAAAAATACCAAAGTGTCGATCACCTCAAGCAAGCGCTTCGGGAATGGACCAAAATACCGCAGAGCAACATTCGGGCAGCGTGTGACGGTTTCATGGGCCGTTTGAAGGCCATAATTCGTGCCAAAGGTGACCAATTCGAACAAATCTAAACTTATTCATTTCAATAAAATTTTCATTCAATAAAATTTAAAAAAAAAATGTAAAAATTATGTCGTTTGACTTTCTTGTAGTTTTTTTTTATCTCACACTGTATTGTTTTGACCACATACAAAGGGACCCCTATAGTTTCAGGTATATTTCACAACATTTAGAAGCTACAGAGCTTTAGAATTTGTTTGAGATCTTTGGATTATTGGATCATTGGTAGAAAAATCGAGGCACTTCTTTGGTTTGGCCTCCATGTAAGGATATTCAGGTATTTTTTAATTCTTGGTCCATTTATTTTTTCTTTTCATTTTAGATTCCATTACTTGCGAGGGTTTTTTTTACCATATTTCCCATATGTTTCTAAGAATTATATTTTCTTTAAGTGTAGAAACTCTTCCGACTGATGTTATTCAATAAAGTTTACGAAATGGGGAAAAACGGCACGCTACCTCTCTAAATGTTCCAAGACTAGGTGGGCAAATGGAGAAATATTTGATAGAGAATTTTTACTCCCTCATTCGTCTTCTCCCCAAAAAAATTAATGATTCCCCAAAAAATTTCGACCTTCGGATTTTGGATACCCGAACGAACATAAAAGACAACGAACATAACAACAAACAAACATCTCGGCAGTCAATCAATTTCCCATTGCCACAAATGAAATGTTAAATTTTCGGTTAACCCGTAGTTAATTATAATATTTCAATGAATTAATTATAGTATATTGTTGCTAACAAGCTACAAATTTTAGCGCCATAAATTATATGGCAAATACGCGATGTATATTAAATCAATAAAAACCAATCATTCACTTATGTGAAGTCTACTCTCGGTTTGGGTGTTTGGTCTGGTGGCAATAAACCGTGCTTGTGTCTTAAGTCTTTTGTTTTCCTGCTACAGCTTGCAACTGGTGAATGCAGCTCTGGCGAAAAAATGTTGTTTACTGTTAACTATAGACTTTATGAGAGGCTTCCTGTGCTTTAATTTAACAATTGTTAATATAATTTATTATAGCACTTTATGACAGCTATCCGGTATATTCACCAAAAAATGGAATCAAAGGGGAGCGCTTTTGATTTTTTTTGTGTTATATTTTTCTTAATTTGTTTAGAATCAAATTATATTGTTTAATTGCAATCCAAAAAGCATGGAATATTTTTGTCAGACAAATAAGGAAATGTAGAATTATTTTTTTAATTTTTATTTATATATTCTTTTTATTTTAATTTAAGAACCCA